GTCCTACATGACCTCCCTCTGAACCCCTTATTAAAAAAACTAAGAGGAAGTAAAAAAAAAAAACTGATAAAAGAAAGTTACCAGCTTTGTACTTTACACCAAAACATTACATATTTAACAAACAATTTAAAATTTATTGCATTCGTTTTTGTATTAAAATCTCTCGGTAGCTCCTCAGAAAACAACTCCCCTCAGACAGGTTCAGACTAGTTGGGAACGCTGGCAAGTTCTAGTTTGGCGGGAAAAAAACTCAATTTCCCAGAAAACACCGCGGCACCGTCCAGTCCATCTCGTGCTGTAGCTTTCTGGACCACATTAGGTACAGTATAATATTCAAATATTTTTATCGTTCCCTCTAAAGTTACTAAAATGCGCTTTTATTATGAAGTCAACCTTATCCTGTCTTGTGGAGTTTACACGTTTTACCTTAAACGCGTTTTTAACCATTTCTGCTGGCAATGTCCAGATAAAGCTGTTGCTTTTAACGGACACTCCTGTTAGCCTATTAGCTGTAATTCAGTAAATGAGTTGCTAATTTACTTTGGCATCGAATTAACACAATAAACCCTCGTTTTAACAACACATGTGTTAGCAGCACATTACCAGCTAGCAGCCTGTGAGCATGCTAACACTTGTGTAACGTTTTGCAGCTGTAACGACACATCAGTGACCCAGTTACAACTTGTTTTTCACTGCACTGCTTTGTTGTTTTCGTTAAATTCGTACTAATAAGACATGATAAATAAATAATGCAAAGTTCTTTCTTACAATTAAGCTCTTATAGTCTTGTGCTTTCTATTGCAGGAAGGAAATAATCAAATTTAACACGATTTAGAACAAGCAACGCCTTACATTATGTCTACTACTTAAAATATATTTTGTTTAGACAGGATAGGCCAACAATAACGTTTGAATGAGATCAGTCAAACCATGTTTTGGTGTTATTTGATTTGTTTTCTAGCAAACAATTTGCAAAAAAGCTCCAGCTCAGTCAAAAATTAACAAAGTATATTGGGCCTATTTTCATGCAAAAATATTCCTAATCCCAATCTTTTGTATCAGCTTGACTCTAAACCTTCAATCCTGCTTTTTTTTTTTTTTTTTTTAAGCAGCTAACTTTTTTTTTTTTTTTTCATGTGATGGTCTGCATTAGAGCTAAAACAATTAATCAGCTTAATCGTGATTAATTGATATTTGAAATAATCTTCAACTAATTTAGTAATCGATTTATTGTGAACTGGAGTATATAGCCCTTAAGCTGACAGAGCGACCTAATTTGAGCAGTTATTATATCAAAATTGTAAAAACAATATATAATCATTTTTAATTTAAGATAAACAACCTTTTTGTCTGTCAATATGCTCTATCCAGAACCCCTCAAGTGGAAAATCTTAGTTTCATCTGGTTTAATTTAGTTAAAATTCTTCTTTAAGGAACATTTGGCTATTAGATTATTAATCGATTGATCAAAAAAATAATTGACAGATTAATCGATTTGTAAAATAATCGTTAGTTTCAGCCCTGCTCTACATTTAAAACAACAGCTCAATTTAATACTGACCGGTTTCTTCTGAAGAAAAGCATCCCATAGCATGATACTGCCAAAGAATTAGTTTGCAATTTTCAGATTTCTTGTTTGTTAAAAAAAAACAAAAAAAAACAAATCATGAAACCCATGTGTTATTTTCCTGGATTATTTTGTGTAGGTCTGTCAAACAAATCCCTAACAACTTACACTTAAGTTTTTAATTCTAACATAAAGATAATGTATAGGTATATATAAAATGCTAATTACAAAAAACATCTCCTTAGAATTAAGTTGAAAATATTCAAATCTACAAACCAAGCTGGGCTGCCATGTCGAGCAGATGTAGCTGATATAGAATCACAGAAATATTTCACCCAGATTTTTTTAGATTTATGTAAATTTAAAAGATAATTTTAACACACAAACCTATTGAATAAACCTTGCATGATCCTAATCATTTGTATAATAAGCTTATTTATTGAAAATTAATAACTTTGAGGTTTATGTATTCAGAATTGCACGGAACTGCAAATAGGCAACCTGAATATTATGCATTTAAAACTATGCGTTTGAAATAAATACACTAATTTGTATTAATATTAAGTAATTATTCTTTATTAATTCTAAATAAAAAAGCCTGACAATTATGCATTTGAAATAAATAAGCTTTATCATACAAATGAATATGTATCGTAAGATTAATTTAATAGGTTTGTATCATAATTAGCTAAAAAACTACATGGGTATTTGCTATGTAATAAAGTTACATAACATAAAATATTTTTTTGAGTGTAGTATTTCTTTTTGCTTGTTCTTTTTTTTTACCACATGGAGGTAACAGCACACTTAAACTTTTTTTAAATTTTTTTTTTTAATGCAAAACCCTCTAACAAGAGTTTGCATTTCATAATCCCCAATTTCATGGTTTGTTTACAGTTATTTGTGTGTGATGTAATTGGCCGATTTGAATGCAGCTTCTAGAGTTACATGTGCAGAAAACAAATGACATTTTCCTGTCTGTCTGGTGTGGATATTTGTTTTAACCGATCTGTTTTTGTCAAGATGTTTTTCTCGATCATCAAAATTGGTGAGATTTTAAGGAAAAAATATTCCAAAACAAGCCTAATGCCTTTGTTTATATAGGAAAGTGCAATTTAGCCAAACTAACTAAGCTTTTTTTTCCCTTTTCTGTTTCAGGTTAACAATGCCCTGAGTCTCAGCTGCTGGATAGCTTGCTGTCAAACAATGTCACACGGTGGAACAGAGCAAAGGTCAACAGTTTCTCTTACATGTGAACGACGGCATGCTAGCAGTCCACCTAGCGTTTCATCACCCTGTAAAATGGTTCATTCCATGTAGCTCAGTCTCTATTGGCTCACAGAGGACCAAACAGTGTTAAAAATTTGTTCTATCAGTCCCCTAAGAGCAGATTTTTTTTTTCTTCTTTTTATTTTCTTTTTTTTCCCATGCTGATCTGACACAGCTAAAAAGTTGCACTCTTCATCCCTGGGTGACCGACATCCAGCTGCCACAATGGCAGCAGACGACCTAATGGACGGATCAGATGGGGAGAAATATGTGGATCTTAAAACACCCCCGTCGGAAGACGCTGAGGATCACGGAGACGCGGAAACGGCCACGGCCCCGGCTCCGGCCGAGGAACCGGCAGAGGATGCCAAAAAGCTGAAGTGCTCGGTCATATTTTTGTGCTTCTACGGCTTCATGTCTTCCATAAGGCCCGGGGAGGCCTTCATTACACCCAATTTGTTGAGCTCGGAGAAAAACTTCACTGAAGTGCAGGTTAGCTATTTTCCGTTATGTGTCAACTTTCTTGGTCAATTATCTTTGCTTCAACTCAAAGAAAAACAAGGCTTTCCGTCTCTTTTTAACAGCAATACAGTTATGCTCTAACTAAGTGAAACTACTGGGATAAACGCATGTGCTCGCTGCAGGGAGTTCACTGATCCATCTTACTGTGGGTCAGAGTTCACATTCCACCTAACCGGCTCACTGTATGCTGATTTGTGAATGAATTCAGAGTTGAATTCAAATCTATGATGTTAGTCAAACGATCGGCTGCAGTGATGCTAAAAGAGATTTCTAAATAAAGAACTAATAGTCTGACATATAATTTTTAAAATCAGAAGTTTGACAGAGTTATTTGTCAGGTTTACTGGAACTGTCTTGTCTTTTCGACAAAATTTAAAATTTTAATATCCAGATTTTAATTACAAAGAGAAAGAAGAAGAAAAAGTGGAACATTTATCCCTCTGTAGTTGTTTTCATGTGTTTGGTTTATACTATTTTTTTTTCTTACAAGAAAGAGAACGTCTTGTTAGAAGGAGTTTAAGACCTCTATAAATATAATGATTACAACCACAAATATAGGCTGTTTTCGAAATTAATTAATGTGTTTTTCTTCATTGGCAACCATAAATACATGCTAACCTCTACAGGTTCTTTGCTTACTTACAGTCTTAGGCTTTTTGTTGCACATTAAGTTTAGCCTGATCAGTATAGAAATATTTGTTTTAAGCTTATTTTTTGAAATTAGTTAAAAAAATGGAGTTACAGATTTACTGAAAACCTTAAAATGAGACTGAACGATTTTGCCAAAAATCAAAATTGTGATTATCTTTAATTAAAATTGTGATTTTATTTAGATTTTCCCTTACACTAACTCCAAACCTGTAGATGTTTCATCCCAGAATTTCAGTTTTTTAGAGCTTGCCTACCCAGAATCTGTTGTTACGGGACTTTACTTTAACAATTGTGTGAAAAAGTGTTTACTTCTACTTGCTGGTGAGGATCTGTTGCAACTCTTTTTACATTTCTGTGTGGCAACAAACCCACTTCAAGTGTTTAATCAGGGAAAACTTCAGTGTCTTATTTTTGTCAAATATAGTGTGATTAAAAATCAGTATCTATGCGATCTGAAAATTTTGTTGTGATTATATTGCAAATGTAATTAATTACCCTGTGCTAACTGGAACATGGTGTACTTGTTTTTTTAAATTGCAGGTAAACTTGAGTTTAAAGGCAACATAATAGAATTTAGGATGCTATAACAAAACATTGCGGGGGGTTTATGGCTATTTATCTGTCTAGACACTTCCAAAGAAGGTGTTCTGTTTTTTGTTTTCTCTTGTTTTTATTAATATTTTTGTATTTTTTTTACTCTTTTCCCTCCAATACATTTTAAATGTTTTGTGAATGTTAATTACATTTTGATAAAAAAAAAAGTTACATTTTTACTTCTTACGATGCAAATTCCAAATCAAGCGAGTACGAAAAACAAATCCGATGGAAAAAACGCTACAAACACAAAGTAATGAGCATTTCGCCTAATTTTTTTTGGGTCATACATGTGATTCATACTGCGCTTTGCACCTATCGGCCATCGTAACTTTCCGGTAAGAATGCGATAAAAAAGCGTCCATTCAGGCTAAAATAGTGTAAACCAGAATGATTTATTGACTTGACTGTTTGAAAAATAGTTAGGAGAGAAAACATTCATTTTCTATCGTGTTTTTTGAGTTATTTTTTTTTGTGTCGATGTTTCCAGGTGACCAATGAGATAACTCCGGTGTTGACGTACTCCTACATGGTGTCGTTGGTGCCGGCCTTCCTGCTGACGGATCTCCTGCGCTATAAGCCGGTCCTGATCATCCAGGGCATCAGCCATGTGGTCATCTGGCTTCTCATGCTCCTGGGCACCACACTGATTCACATACAGCTGATGGAGTTCTTCTACGGCATCACCATGGCCTGCCGCGTAGCCTACTCCTCCTACATCTTCTCCTTAGTGAGCCCTGCTTTCTATCAGCGCGTGGCGGGCTACTCCCGCTCCTCCGTCCTGCTGGGGGTCTTCACCAGCTCCGTGCTGGGACAGCTCTGCAGGTCTGTGGGCAACGTCTCCTACTACACCCTGGATGCCATCTGTTTGGGGTTTGTGAGCTTCGGATTGGTGCTTTCCTTCTGCCTGCCCTGGCCGAAGCGCTCCCTGTTTTTCAATCGGATGAAGAACCAGGAGCCAAAGGAGCTGGAAGCAGCTCAGTCAGAACTGGATAAAATTAACCCCAAACCGGGAGGTTTGTCCTCGACGTCATGTTGGAAAGATTCGGTTTTTGTCCAGATGCTGCTGGAGTTGAGAAACGTGGTGAGGAGGCCCAACCTGAGGCTCTGGTCCATGTGGTGGGTCCTCAACTCCACAGGATATTACCTGGTGCTGTTCTACGTCCACATCCTGTGGAACAGAGTGTATTCCACCGCCTCCTACAACGGGGCAGTAGAGGCGGCTTCAACACTACTGAGTAAGTCTTTTTTCTAGGATCTAATCTCTTACTAAATCATTTTGTCTTGGCTGTTTGGATTTATCACAAAAAAAATATCAGTGTCATCTGCATATTACTTATTGTGACGCTCTTAGATATTGAACTATTGTTTTTTTAAAACCAAAAATTCCTTATTACTTAATGAACATATAGAATGGGCAGATCTTTTTGAACTCAACTGTAATTTAGTAGAGACTTTATCTTAGCAGAACGCCCACCAGGATCTAATCAGTTTGACCTTAAATCAGGGGTCTGCAGCTTTTAAAATCCATAGCGCCATTTTGCCCTGAGTGCCACTAATTAAAGATTGGTATAGCTGCAAATGTTAAAGGGGTCATAGGATGTAAAACCGAGTTTACATTGTCATAGATGATTAACGATAGTTCAGTGGGTGAAATGGACGTACAGAGAAGTTCAAACCCCATCGACACCTCCTTTCTCGGTTCTGCTGCACTGTAGTCGACCAAATTCCCAGACGATTTTTAAATTCCCCCCTGACATTTTTTTAGGCTTGAAAAGAAGAACATGTCTGGGAAAAAGAGGACGTCTGGTCACCCTACCATATCAACAATTTAATATTTCAGTGACTGAATGCTTGTTGCTATAATGAGTCTTTGCTCGCCAGCTTCGCGCGTTATAAACCAACCAATCAGCGCACAGCTGATCTAACTATTCATGAGCATACCATAAAAGGAAGTAAACCTGTTGTTTTATTCTAGGGCTTTTAACTAGGCTTGCATTAGGGCTCATAGAACAGCAAATATGCCATTTTCAGCCCAAATAATGTTGCACACCCTATTCAGAGAACTTAAAGGGGAATTTCGTTTTTTTTTTTTACATTGGGCCCTTGATTTTACCTTATTACACCATGTTCTACTCACCCATATGAGTTTTGTGTCATTTGGAGCAGATCTGAAGATATTCCGTTAGGTTATATCCAAGTAACGTCTACCTTTGGGTAGATGACTGTTATGAACATAACTGTTCATAATTTATTCTTTATGGTACACCAGCATTCATAACATGTTGGCAAATCCCTCTCCCCCAGACATCTGCAGTTATATTTTTTATATTTATATGTTTTAAAAACAAAGCGCCGTGTGTGTGACGTCATCCGCGCATGTGCACTGGAATCGTAACAGGCAGCCCGGGCCATATTCAGCTGCACTGTACCCCTTCTATTCATATAGCTAGCTAATCTGAATCATTCAGTTCCATTTCGAGAGCGAGATCATCTGTGTTCGTAGCACTAGACATCTTTCAGGCATGTGAGTAAAACTAGCAGCAGTTCAGCGGACAGGATGAATGAATGCTAGCTGGCTCGCGGATGACAAAATACACGCTCCGCTTTGTTTTTAAAACATATAAATTAAAAAAAAATATAACCGTGGATGTCTGGGGGACAGTTATTCGCCTACATGTTATGAATGCTAGCGTACCATAAAGAATAAATTATGAACAGTTCAGTTTGTGCTTTGAAGTCGTTGCCCATAGGAAGACGGTGCCTGGATATAACCTAACCGAATATCTAACAGAACGGCTCCAAATGACACAAAACTCATATGGGTGAGTAGATCATGATGTAATAACATAAAATCAAGGGCCCAATGTAAAAAAAACGAAATTCCCCTTTAAGGACCAGCACCAAATACACTATATAATTATTCTATGACCTCTTTAAAGCTTTGTTGACTGATTTTCGCCTTTTCATTAAACACAACGTTATTATTTTTGTTAAATAGCTCCTATGGGAAATATGTTTCCATTTTAAACAGCCAATTGTATTTTTAGCCTTCTAATGAGGAAAAATCATGAAATGTTTCATGAAAATGAAGCACAGATTTTCCTCCATAGGATATTATTTGATGTAAAAAAAAATAAAAAATAAGGACTGAATGCATAATTTTCAAGCAAATGACAAGAAAAGTAGATTTAAAAACATGTTTTTGGTATTTTACCGTCATTCTATTACGAAAATTTAATTAAATATTGAGCTATAGTAGAGATTCAAGAGAACCCATGGTCTATATCATGTATACTACGCACATAGTCCCAACGACTTTGGTTCTGATGGGATCCGTATTTCCTCCTCTTTGATCAGTTCTATAGGATCGGTAACATGCCCCCCCAGTCATTGATCAGTCTTTTTCAACTCTTCCCCTGATTGATACTTTAGCCCACTTAGAGCTTTCTTCGAGGCTGTCTAACCTCTGGAATTAAACTAAAGGGAAATCACATGCAAAAGTCAGAAGAACACAAACAAACCATTAAAAACAGCTGATTATAAATATGGTTTTAACAGATCTTTCTGTCTTGAATAGGGAGGAAAAGATCAGACAATTAAAACCTCCTCAGACTCTCATTAGCGCAGCCTCCAAACCCATTAATCTGACTCTCTTGGTGCTCAGAAGAAAACCAATTTCTCTGCTTCCTGTTCTTACCAGATGACATCTCTCTCTGTACTTTAAGTTAGCTGTAAAGCCCAAAGGTAGTAAACTGATAAAGGTCACATGGAAGCAGTTAAGTGTCTTTACAAAAGGAAATGTGATGTAAGCTAAGCGATAACAAACGGAGGACCAGATGTCCTTGTTCCACAAGCACTGATTGATTTCTTAGACTTAGACAATCTTTAATGTCATTTTTTATACACTGGTTGTAAAAAAAACTAAATTATGTTACTTAAAACAGTAAAAAGAACATTACCATTAATATGTGCTGTAGTGATCATCATGTAAACAGAGTAGGAGAAAAGGAAAACCAGTTTAAATAATCAAAATAATAGTGAAAAAGGCATTAATATGGAAAGTTTCAGTGCAGTGCAAAATAAATATGGTGCAAAATGCAGTGGAACATAGAGTTGTGTCATATTTAAAAGGATTATAAAAGTTTCAGCCACGTTGGTGGTACAGAATAATGTTGCGAGTGTGATGCAGAGTCCAGTTTAGAGTTAACAGTTCTGATGGCAGCGGGGAAGAAGCTGTTGCAGAACCTGCTGGTCTTGCAGCGGATGCTGCAAAGCCTCTTCCCCGAAGGCAGCAGGGAGAACAGTCCGTGGTGGGGGTGTGAGGGGACGCCGAAGATTACGGGCTCGGGACACGCAGCGCTGGGATGAAATGTCTGAGCAGTAGTTTGACACCCAGATTAAACATCTTAATTTAACTTAAAGGAGAAGATGTGTTCCCTGTTAGGATTAATTTAGATTTTTTTTTTTTGCTGACCAGCTTAGGCCTTTTCTCTCTCTGCAGGTGCAGCCACCTCCTTTGCAGCGGGCTACGCTAAAATCCGGTGGAACATCTGGTCGGAGCTGGTCATCTGTGTTATCACGGCCCTGCAGGCTTGCTTGCTGCTGCTTATGGGCAACACGCAAAACATTTGGGTCTGTTATGCTTGTTACATCCTCTTCAGAGGCTTCTACCAGTTCCTGGTGCCTATTGCTACGTAAGTACATTGGAAACCAGTTATTGTCAATTCAAAGAATCTCGGATCAGAACACTTAAACTCCAGGAATACGTCAATCCAATTTATTAACTAATCTGTCTAAACTGAACAGGTTGTTCTTTTGAAAAGGAATTAAACTTTTAGCGCCCTCTAGTGTTTACTCTCCAAGTATATGATAAACTGCTGATTCTGAAGAGCTGTTTGTCCTGCAGTTTCCAGATCGCATCATCGCTCACCAAGGAGCTGTGTGCTCTGGTGTTCGGCATCAACACCTTCTTAGCGACGATACTGAAGAGCATCATCAACTTGATATTTTCAGACAAGAGGGGGCTGGGACTAGACATATACGCTCAGGTGAAATTTTCAACCACATTTTGAATATTTCTTTTATTTTGTCCAAGAAGCTTTGAAGAGGTGTCTATGTTTCAGCTGGTTCAGCACCAAATATCTAGGAGGTTGTATTTAGGGCTTCAACTAATGATTATTTTACGATTAATCTGTCGATTATTTTTTCAATTCATCGATTAATCAGATAGCCCAATAAAGAAGACTTTTTACAAAATTAAACCAGGTGAAACTCAAACTTTTTCTATTTGAGGAGTTCTGAAAATACCATATTGACAAATGGAAAGTTTTTTTTTTATCTTAAATGCAAAACTTTCAAATATTTTTTTTTAGAAACTTTGTATAATTACTGCTCCAATTGGTTGCTCTGTCAGCTATAAGCATGTTTTAGAATCTCTGTACTCCAGTTAACGATTAATCGATTATTAAATTAGATGACAATTATTTCAATAATCGATTAATCGGATTGTTTCAGCCCTAGTTGTTTTTAAGGATTTCAGCCCTAACTGCAAAAAAATGAAATCTAAATGAAATCTATAGTGTCTTTTTTAATAAGTGCTTTTTTTTAATTGGTGAGACTTTGCCAATGGAACAAGACAATTTACATTTAAAATAAGACAAAAAACAAATTGAATTGTCTTATTTCAAGTGCATATTATCCAATTATCTTATCTCATTCCATTGGTAAATCATCTTTACCTGCTCAAATTAAGGCTAAATTCACTCAATTTTATAAATACTGGAGTGTAGATGCTCAACTTTTGGAAATTAATAAAGAGATTTGGCATTGGGATATTTTAACAAAGATAAATAAAAATTATTGTGCTTTCTTTATCTACAAAAACTGAAGTAGAAGCTGAACAACTGGGAAACTTCCTTTCGGTTAAAGTATTTGATTCCTATGCAGGGTTTTTATAAAGATGCCCAAACTTCTGCAGAAACTCTTGGATAACTTCCCCCCACCCATTTTTTTTCCAGTTCTTAGTCTACTTCATTTACTTCTGCCTGCTCACTGTGCTGTACACCGTCAGCGCTGCCTTCGTCCTCATCCGTCACTTCAGGAACCAGCAGAGGGAGCGGCTCGCCTCAGCCAGAGGGCCGCCAACAGAACTCAGCCCTGTGCCACAAACCCCCGAAGCAGAACCTCTATCTAACGGGAAAAGTGCCTGAACGTAAAGGCAGCAGCTGGTGAACTCCGAGCAGAACCAATCAGTAATTTCTGAGCCTTAATCATAGAAGTGCCTCATCTTCTGCTGTGTGAAGCCTTTTTGCACTACGACACCATAAATAAAATAGTGAACTCACAGCTTATCCGGTTTCAAGTATTAATTATTTGTACCGGAGCACTCCCATTGTACACGTTACAACTGCCGTTAGATAAGATCCGATTAGAAATAACATCACTGTTTTTATTAACTGAATTGTATTTTGTGATAAAATGAGATCCTCAATGATAAAAAATGTGACTAGAAACTGCAGGTTTTTATTCAGTGGTTAATTTTTTTAATCTTGTATTAATTTGTATTTGATGCATTGGAATAAGCTCCATTTTGTTTAGTTTTTTTTTTAGGAGAAATCATTGCTACTCAAGATATTCCCTTAAAAAGTTGGGTTTTCACCACAGTTAAAGATCTAAGAAAAATAAAGGCTGCTTTTACTTTGAAATTCATAGGAATGTAGTGTTACCTAATCTTACAAGGGGACGTTTTATTCCTCCACAGGAAATGTAGCTGAAGTTTCATATTTTCCAATAACAGTTTTTTTTTTTAGGGTACCGTTACTTATATAATGTGCACACTGTATTTTATTCTGATTTAAATCATTGCTGAAATATGCTGTATGACAGGAAATAGTGTTTTTTATTCAAAAATAAAATGAAGTAGTGGATAAATGAATACATTTGGTCTCCTTATTGAATATAAGAAAGTCTGTATAAGTAAAACACATCATATTTTTAAAGTATGTATATGTTAGGATAAAATGAAAGTAAAGCAAAGGGATTCTAAACTTTATCCTGGAAATTATTTTTGATTTATTTTAAAGTAACCTAAAACCTTTAGAGGTGCATTGGTTTGTTGCATTAATTCTCACTAAAATACCTTTTTTTGTGGTTGTTATTTTAAGGAAATGAAACTTGGAAGCGTATGTCAGGCAAAGCACTTTTTTTTTTCTTTTTCCAAAGTTCTGGCTTTTGTTTACTCAGCTGTATTGGTTTAAATGTTATAAAAAAAATAAAAAAAAAGTTCTTTGATTATTATTTTTTTTTTTGTTCACATTTCCCAGCATGGGGTTAGTTCTGTACCGGAGCTGTTTGTACAGCTGAATAAAAAGACGTGATATAGCTCTAGAAGATAAGCAAACTGCTTTTGATCTGATATTTTTTAAATAAATGATTTTTTTTTTTAATTAAAATATTTAGATTCCATTCATTTGGACTGAACATGGCCCTAAAAAGTCTTTGAAAAAAAAAAAAATATCACTTTGGATAAACGTTTGCTGCCCTCTAGTGGCAAAAAAAGAAAATTCCGCAAGCAAAATTAAAACTTGGATGTTGTAGCCTTTGTTTAATATACTGTAGCACAAAAAGAAGCAGTTGGGGCAGCTTTTTAGTTTAAATAAACCAATCTCTTGAAACTTCATAAAACAAATGGATAATCTCCTGGTACATCAGGGCATTCTCACAAAAATATTCCAAACTTCCATTTCAAGTAGACAAATGTCAGTTATTAAAAAAAGGAAAAAAAGTACATACAGATAGAAAATAAGTAAAAGAAAGAAACATTTACCCCAACATCGGCAAATAAATATTTACACACGATTTGTTTAGAGCCGAAAAGTTACTCTTGGAGCTCATCAACAATTCATCCAGAAAGTCACAAAACAAACCAGCACATCTGATGCTTTGCAGACCTCAGTTAAAACCAATTCCTGATTCATTAATGAGACGCTAAAACTGCTAAACAACATAAAAACACAGGCATAGACATTTGTACATATTTGTTAATGATACGTCAGATTTTGAGGAAACAGTCTTTTAACTGACGAGGCAGAAGTGGTGGATTCTTGCAAATTGTTGACCTAGATGACCTGCTGTAATTCATGCAAACATTATATCTTTCTTTAGCAAAAAACTAAATCTAGTGAGCAGTTTTCTAAAAAGCCTTGTCAGTCAGTTGACATACCGCAAAATACCCTTCCTTTATTCCTCTTCCATTAGCTCAGTTCCTCTGACACTGGTTAATGGCCAAGAGAAACAGTCTCGGATTAACCATCGGTGGATGTTGCTGTCAGTTATAGGAAAGCTCACTTTTACCGGGCTTCCAGGAATTGTTTTAGGAGTAGTTTGGCAGGAACAAAACCTTAAGATCAGAGGTCTTCTCTCTTACTTCCTCCTTTAAATAAACCTCTCTCCAATTCTAAAACACCATTTGCCAAAGTTGAAAACATCCAATGCAACATGCACAGGATAATTTCTTGGTTCCTTCTTCGCAGGCAGTTTTGCCGCTTTCAGTGCCATCAGAAAATTTCACAAAAAAATAAAAAATAGAAAACTTGGAAAAAGCTTCCTTAGTGTCATTAAAAAACAGACACTTTTCAAATAAATTCTTTCTCTGAACATCCTTAGAAATACTTGTTGCAGTGAGACTTCTGCTGATGAGGCCAACATTTGGTCCATAGTTGGCTTGCCTTTTCTTTTATTCATTTCCGAAAGACGTTTCTGCAAAAAAAGCAAAAAACATACTAAAGTTAATATGGGTTCAATATAGCTTCAATGCTAAAAATAAATGCTGCTGACTGGATTTAAGCTATCAAATTAGAATATCATCAATAGGTTAATCTGTTTTAAAAGTCCAATCATACTATTTTAGAGAAATGTGTCTGGAAAAAAAAACCCTAAAAAAGACGTCCCCCCAGGTCTTCTGCTAGACTCTGGAACCTTTATTACCAAATAGGATCCAAAAGAGGAAACAGTATTCCAGTCCTTTTTCTCCACCTACAATCTTTTTAAAGCCATCTCTAATTTAAGAGGCCCTATTGCTTGTGCACATTTTTTTTCCTTCTACAAACTGTCTAATAAATACTCTTGGATACAGCTTCTTTTGCAGTGATCTTGGGTGGCTTACCCTGCTAGTTTAGGGAGTCAATAAGTGCTAAAAATGTCGTCCTCATGATAAAGCATCATTATTGCATTTAAAGTATAAATATCTTTAGTCTCATGTAATATAAACATCGTCTTCCCCACTCAGAGGAGCCTGATCAGTGGGAGATTGCTCCTCCCCAAATGCAGGACCAACAGACTGCTGAACTCCTTTGTTCCTCAAGCCATCAAGCTGCACAACTCCTCACTTGGGGAGGGAGGAGGTGATAGGAAGAGGGTCAAGGGTCAGCCCCGCTTCCTTGGACATCTTGTGCAAAAACATTACCTACTGTCACTCATGCAATATTCTTTTCTCTCACTGTGCAATGATTCAAGTTAACTACTGTGCAGATATTTTTATATCTAAAGGAACATATTCCACTACATTCCTTTTTTTATGCTCTTTTGTACTATAAACACTTTTTATATTGTCTGTCGTATTTATGTCTTTAATGGCATCTTGCTTTAACTCTGCCCTTAGTGCTCTACATAAGCTACTAGAACCAGATTTTCCCTGACGTTAAAATGTTATGAGAACCTGAATTTTTCTCTTTTTTTTATTAGCTTTAATACAAATTAACTAAATTATTAACTTTTAAGATAAATCTTTGTTTGCAAAGTATTTACATGTATATAGAGTATCTAGAAAGTGTTGGCGTCCCTTTACTTTCTCAACAGTGTGATATTTTTATACTTCTCCAAACTTAGATTCTCCTTTAAAATAAAAACTACAAAAATAGCCAATTAAAACACAATGACACCCCCCCCCCCAAAAAACAAAAAACAAAAAAAAAACATAAGGAAGGTGTACAGATTTTGAAATAATCGTTATAAGTAGTAAGTGCTTTCAGCAAAACTTTGTCTTTTTTTCTCTCTTCAGTTTGTTTACTGCAGATCCTCTCAAGTTCAGTCCGGTTAGACAGGCAACATCAGCCACTTTAGTTTCTCCACGGATCTTCGGTTGCATTAAAGTCCAAAAGCTACTTTTGACTTACTAACTTTTTCAGAAGAAAGGTGAGATGTATCCTGAGGCTCATCAGGATATTGGTGATCCTACACCATCTACAAGGACTGGTCAAAAAAGTATCCCCACAGCATTATGCTGACACCTCCATGCTCCAAGGAAACAGATGTTAGACACGTAAGTAGTTCCTAGTGTCCGTGACGCGATCATTAGTTTTCAGGTCAAAAAGTTCTATTTTGGTGTCATAGACCAAAGCATGACAACCTCTAAGCTGTATTTCTGTAAAATCCAAAGCACTAGGGGGGTTGACCTTTCATATTTCTCCTAACTCCTTGAAGAAACAATGGAGCCTTTTTGAACCCACATCTCCTATTTTTTAATTATGGGGAACCCAGATGCTGTTAAGATATTCAACACAGCTGAAACATTTTTTTCCTATGAGATATTCCAGCCTCTAACTAGTAACTAATCACAATTACTTGCTAATAGAGTGGCTCTGGTTATCCTGAGGTATCTCTGTGGTTATGCTGCTAAAGGCTTAGACTGCTGGAGGACATAGGGATCCTTTTTCATCATTCTATTTCTATTCTCCCATTCTGCAGAATTTGTTAGTTCAATCTCTAATTTTATGTCTCTCAGCTTTTCCTCACAGTAGTTTCATCTGGTCTGTTTCTGTTTGGCTGTGAAACCATCCTGGAGAGAAATATCAGCTATACTGCTGCCATAAACACCTTTTTTTTTTTTATAGATGTTCGAGCTCGGCCTGGTTTTCAGTGTAGTCCTTGTTCTCTGACTGTGACTAACTGTATGTGCTCTCTCTCATTCTTCGACAACTTAGCTGGTTCGGAGCTCATCTGCCTGGCTGTGTGTTTCCTGGATGTTGCCACCTGTGGAGCTGGTTTACAGTTGACTTTTGTATCTCTTCCTCTTTTCTGTGTCTGCTTCTTTCTCCTTGAACCACAGTCGGCCTCTGCAGATGGCCACTCACACTGATCCTGTTTCTGCTGGAGTTTTCCTCTCCACTGTCGCTATACGCATGCTTGGTGTGAGGGATTGCCTTTGAGTCAATGAGTCGATGCAATGAGCTGGTTTCCCTTAAAAAGAAAACCTTGAACCAATCTGACTGAATGATGTGGTTAAATTGTCTCTGTAAAGTGCCTTGAGATGACATGTGTTGTGAATTGGCGCTATATAAATGAACTGAATTGAATCGTTTTACTTCAGAAACATTTTAATGGTGTATCGCTAGTCCAACTCAATTATAAATATCTTGACTGAATGAAGAAAAAGCCCATTATACACTAAAATGCACCAACGTTCTGCTAAAATCACTATTGTATTCTGAACACAAGTTTTCTTAATCTTACCTATAACTGCTAAGTATTTTATGAGATACAGAGTTCAAGGTAATATACAATAAAAAGTAATTTGAAGGTGGTTTAACCTGCTTTATTATACAGTATATTACATACTGTTAGTATTGGTTTCATAGGAGTTTTTTTGTTGGGAAAATTCGATTCAGAGAAGTATTTCTTTAGCCTGAGTTTCCTATTTTCCAATTTATTTTGCATTTGTAATAATTATTTAAAATTTTGACTTTAATAATTAAGTGTTTACACAGAAAGAAGTGATCAAATACTATTAGTTACTACTTGTGTGGCCTTCTTACTGATTTCTTTTTACCTTTTGAGTAATTTTAATCGGAGGTATCTTTTTATTTGTACTTGAGTTAAAATATATTAAATTAGTTCTACTGTTGGTTGAATCAAACTTTAAGGAACTGAAAAACCTTAAACCGAAAAATTTGTCCGAACATCATTTAATACTTTCTATACAAGTTAAATGGAATTGAAGGATTAAAACAGTATATAATAATTATAAATACAATACAAATGTTTTTCTTATAAATAAAATGCATCTATATCTTACCATCCGTATTCTCTTTAAGTGCATGATGGGTGGCTCCGTTTGCTTCTTCAGCAGCTGCTTGTGGTTCTACGAATAAAAATACAAGTTCTAAATAAAACCTTTACATCCACAGGTTAGAAAAGTAGCTCAAAATGAAGGCTGAGACTTACGCTGTCCCTTAGTATTCCTCCAGAAATCTGAAAAAAAAAAAAAAGTATATAACCAGTGTATTTCAAAGCAAATTTCATAATCAAGGCAAATTTTGACCCTACATAAGAACAGAAGGGCGGAATATGGATTTTGCCAACTACTTACCAGCTTCCCAAGGATATGATGCTGCAGAAAGTTTGGTAAGAAACAAAGTTTATCTATAGGCAATTAAACATTTATCCAAACAATAAAAAAGAAAAAAAAATCCCTTTACAAGGGAAAATTATTCACATCATAGAAGCCAAATGCAATGTAATAGATAACAATCTATGGCAAAAAATTTGTTTTTATTATTTTTTATTGAAATTATTTAAATGAATTGTCTTATTGTTGCTTACATTTGTTGTAGAAGCACTCTCCTGAAAAAAGAGGGGGAAATTAGGATAATAACTTTAGACTGAAGACCAAAATGAAAATTACGCGAAATTACGTCAATGGATGAACTCATTACCCGTTTTCACTCTGTGTAAGATCCCCAACAGCAAAACAAGTGCTAAGAGGATGACGAAGACCGTGAGTCCTGCGGAAATCCTTGGGCCACTTTCTTGACTCTTTGGAGGAGCTGTTTTTAAAAAAAAAAAAAAAAAAAAAAAGAAATGAAGTACTCTTAAAAAAAAAAAAAAAAATAATAATTTTTGCCCTTTTGTTAAACTCACTCTGATGTCAGTAGTCATAATATTATTCCTCGTTGGTTTATAGTTGTACAATAACATAAATCATGCCCTTTGGGTATTTATCTGTGCAATTTTGCTTCATCTGCATCATTATACTGGAAAAATATAAAACTACAATAAAATAATTACCTGTAAAATGCCCTTACCTGACTTTCAAGAGACAATGTGCTTCATTTTTGTTTATGTCTTTATTAAAATGCATTGATATGAGGTTTAGTTTCCGGTCGTTTTTCCTTTGTACTGTATTATATCAGCAGATGGCAGGTACGATAATCAGGTAACTTGTGTTGAAGCAGCGCTCCCTCTTAATATGGGATTTTATTCCTGCTATTATATTTTATTTCACCATCTTGTTCAAGGTATCTTAAATCGTATATGATTCAAAACTAAAGCTAATGAGAACTAAACTGAAACTAAGAATTTTCAAAATAAGGAAAAAACTACATTAGCTAAAAAAAAATATATGAAAAAGAATTAAAAACAAGAACTCAAAACTTAATAAAAATCGATAAAAGGAAAATTTCAAAACTATTTAAGACTTGCTGCTATTCAAAATGGAAACAAGTTATAAAGGTAGATACCACAAAATGAATTTCATACATTTCACTTAGCAAATATATAAATGAACATAACCATTTTTCAAGAAGAATTTACTTTAATGCCTTAATAGGACCTCAGTACTCTATCATCATAGGCCTGCACATTATTATCAGTATGGCAACGTTCCATCAGTCTTTGTTGCTTTACTCATTTATTTTTTTGCAGCCTTATTTCCATTAATATGTATATAGTTATTTAAACGCAAAAGTTTTTTTCCCCCGTTGTTCACCCCTTGTTACTAAGTGAGTTAAATGTTAGTGTTAATTTCATGGATTGCAATATTTTGTCTTTTTTTTAGTCTAAGCAAGATACTTGCTAACTTAAATCTGACTAAATCTTTATTAAAAGCAGTTTATAGGACTAAAACTAAGCAAAAATATTCACTTAAATCATTAAAATTCTCATTATAAAATTTTGTCAATTTGATACGAATCTTGCGTATGATGTAAAATGAGACATTTAATTGATCAACAATGGCCTACCATCCCATTTCCCACGTTTTACTGATGCCAACAATATTTCCCCTTTTTGTTTTTTTTATTAAATACCATTAAAATACAGTGTCTATTGATGTATGGCCACAGTTATTCAATTAACTCTGTTGTTGATTGCTTGGTCTGTTTATGTTAGCTGCAAAACTGATTGAACCTGTTGATCTTGTCTTGAATTAGTGACATTAAGAAAGGGAGGCGTCCTTTGGGTGACACCTCCTTAATTGCAGCTACACGTTGTACAAGTCAAGTCAGAATGTGATGTCGGAGCCTGGCTTTTATGGGTAAGTATTATGAAATACCCCTGTACTTATCCAATCTGTCTTTATTCTATCATTTCCAAATCTCTTCTATGTACATAATAAACATGATAATTGTATATCTTGACAGAAGAACTCTGCTAATTAGATAAACAACTTGGGAAGACGTTTGTTTAAACACATAACAGGCAGGTAATATTAGGGTTAAACAGACTCTCAGATCATCATAAACATCAAACAAAAAAAAAATATATATATAAAATTTGCTTAGGATAAAAAAAAAAAAAAAAGAGAACTGATCACAGACAAAACGTTTAAGAGAGATAACTCACGAGTCAAAGGGTTGAGGAAGGGTTGGCTGCTTTCCTGACTGACTTTATTCTTCATCTTACAGAAATACTCTTTGACATCCAAATCTTTCTCCTTCAGGGACAAAAAAAAACAAAACAAAAAAACAGTATCAGCAAAATGGAAAAGAGATTAAAAAAACAAAAAAAAAAAACTAAAACATTCAATAGACTTTACAGCTGTTCAGCCTCTTGGAAGACAATTGCCAGAAATATTACGCCCCCCAAATCATTTAATGCTTCACACATTTCGATTGCCACAGAGGCATAAAATAAAATTAAAGCGGTTAGGAATGGAAGCGTCATCTAAGGGCATTCAAAAATCCCAGTTAAAGTGATCAGTATCACCAAATTACTGGGGGTGCACATGACAGACAACCTCAGCTGGACTATGAACACCGCCTCACTGGTTAAAAGGCCACAGAAGTGCATTGACTTCCTGCGGAGGGTGAGGAGAGCCCAACTGCCTTCGCCCATCCTCAGCATCTTCCACAGAAGCACCATAGAGAGCGTTCTGACCAGCTGTCTCACTGTGTGGTGTGGAGGCTGCAGCGCCTCAGACTGGAAGAACGTGAGAAGAGAGGATAACCAGGGATCCAGTTACAAATATATCTTACATTATTGGTAATAATAATAATAATTTTTTCTGCTGCCATTACCATCTGCCTTTTTGCACTAGCATAAGTATTGTTTATTTTATATTATTGTACATTTTATATTTTATTGTGAAATTGAATGTTTAAATTTTAGTATTAGGAACTGATCTTATCTGTTGTGCCTGTGCACTTTATCTGTTTCACTGTTGGTGAATGAGAAACGTCCTCTCGAGTCCTTGTATGTCTGGTGAATGTAAAGAATCGACATTAAAGGTGACTTTGACTTTGTAATGTTATAGGCCTATTGCATATTGAAAAAGTGTTGATCGGTATTGCGCCACAATAGGGAGATGGGGACTCCCCCCCCCCAAATATTGACAGGTATTTCGCATACTGCTCTACATCATATATTATTTTGCACCACCAACGTGGTTGAAACTTTAATGATCCTTCTAAATATGTCACAACTCAATATTATACTGCATTTTGCAGGATATTTAATGCCCTTTTGTGCCCCTTTCATGATGATTACTTCTGCACTTTATAAATGGTAATGTTCATTTCCCGGTTGTAAGCTGTAAGCAACTAAATTTGGTTTTGTATACACTCGGTGTAAACAAAATGACAAAGTTTTGTCTAAATCCAAGTCTGTTTAAGTCTAAGAATGCAAGTCTAGAGCTGTTCCTGAATGTCTGCCCTAATCACTATATAGGGCACTATATAGTGGTTACAGCATGTTAGATGAGCGTCTGAACTTCTAGGAGATGAAAAAGTAGTGGTGTGGAAATTTTCCACAATGCACCTTGAAAAGTAGTGATCATCCATGGTCAGTGGACAAGCAGATATATCCTGGAATGCTTTGCACAGAGAGTTCTCCTCACAAACTATCATGTGATTTGTTGTCACAGTGGCCGGCTGTTGCTACGCGACAGAGGCGACTGATAAAGATGGCACCGCGCAGTGGAGGCGGGGTTACGTGAACAACAGGGAGCGAAAAGTAGTGATCATCTGTCCGAATGGTCAGATAACCGAGTTCACTATAAAGTCCGCAATATAGTCCCTGCTCTATATTTTGATTGAGAGATTTAGGGTCTAGGGTGGACTTTCGGACACAACCTAGCTAAAAAAAATCTGCATCTGAACTTAGAAATGCTTTAATGAGAAAAAAAAAAAACAATAAGGGCCAATATCTTCATTTATACACTTCGGACAACCTCCTCAGAAGGGTTAGGGGTGTTATAGCTGCATTACATGGGAGGTGATTCAGTGCTTTTGACAATTGGTATCATTTGGGGTTTACATATTTTCTTAACCCATCTCCCACAGAATAACTGGAAATAATACCATGATCACATATTCTCTTCCCGTGTTAACTTCACTTCCATCTTTCTCAACCATCCACACGTAGTTCACTGGTTCCGCTCTGGTTGTGTTTCCCTCACAGGTTAGGGTACAGGAGTTTGAGTCTTGATGACACGTTGAATGAATGGTAGGGACAGGAACTGGAGCTGGTGTCAGAGAAAGATAAGAATCAATTGGGGTCTTGTTTTTTAGATGCAAAACCCAGAGCAAGTGTTGACTTACAGAGGACTTGAAGGCGAATGGAGTGATCACCAGGATTGCCGTTTATCTCGACCCTGTAAACATTGCTGTCTCCATATTGCAGGTTTGTGATTGTGAAATCTCCCGTCTTTTTGTTCAAGTCACTCCTACCTAGAAGTAAAACATAATAAAGAACATCATCTCTCATTTCACCAGAAGTTAACAAAACTAAACAGCACCTCCTCGTTTACCTTTAAATTCCCGATAAAATTCGAGTTGTCCATTTTCCAGTTCAGCAGCAAGATCCTGCCCAACTTTCCAGGTGATGGTTTGGATTTCAGGCATCACAGTACTGGCTTTTGGTTTGAGAGTAACCTCATCTCCAATCTTTGCATAGATTGTTTCTTCTTTAGCTAAAAAAAACAACAAAAATACTGTTTTAAAAAGTTTAATCTCATACAGTATCTCTAAAAATGTCTCTATTTGGTCTCTTGACTTATTTAACCCATTTTTTTTTTTACTTGTTAAAGTTGTTTTACTTTAGAAGTGTTCCAGGATTAATGAAGATAAAACAGCTTTTTTTTCTTTTTCATCAAAGATCACGTTTACATTTATATGAGCTTTATTGATAGGATCTTTCTTCTAATCCTGCTCTCTGGGGCTAGAGTTAAGGTCCTTGAAACAAGAAATATTGTTTCCAGTTTTTGCAGCATCACTGAAGACTAACTTTCTACAGGAACCTTGTAAAAGTATCAACCCCTTGTTTTTATTCTTCTTTTTTTTGCAACTGTTTCACACTCTTGAATTTGTGGGAAATCCTAATCTGTTGGTGTTATCGTCACCGATGAAGCTTATCCACAAGCTTTAGGAGTGATTACATTTCAGAGCACCTTTATTCAGATCCTCATTTGTCCAAAATCGATGTTTATGGACAATTCCTTGTCTTGAATTTGCTCCAATTAATACCAACATCATTCAGTTGGGTTGAGGTCAAGATTGCCAGACTTAAAAGCACATTCATCTCTTGAGCAGTTTTGTCTTTGTTTCCTTAAAATCAATGTCATCAGGACATACTGTCCAGATTGTAGTGATTTTCTCCTGCTCCACGCACATTCTTAAATAAATTGGCAATTGACAGGCTAAATGGAAGAAGGCAGAAATCTGAGGACAAGAAATGAAATCTGCTACAGATTTCAACTGGAGAACATTTCATACCTGAATCAAACACTTGAATATGAAAGCCTTGGAGATCTTTTATTTAGATCTAAAGCTATCGAATTTAATTACTATGCTTCTATTAATGTGCTGCTCTGCTGCTTCTTATCAAGAGAAAATAACAGGCTAATAGCAAGAAGCATTGTTACAACAACAACAAAAAAGAAAACAACCAGACATAAACTGATCTTTTTAATGCTAGGTAATTTTTTTTCTGTGTACGTGAATTTCCAAACAGCCAAATTCCTTAAAATCCTAGGCAAAAGACTATTGCAGCAGCCTTCTGTCAGACAAGTAACTAATTTTTACTTAGCAATATGTTGGGGAGGGGGAGCGGTGAGTTACAAGCTACGCATATCTAAAAAATCTGGAAAAATACATCCAGCTTTGTCGGATATGATGGAGAGCAAATGTGAAGACCAGTTTTTAAGTCCTGCAACTTATTATCAAATGGATTTCTGAACTTTGACGAAACCATTGATTAAGGTTCGCACTAGGGCTGATGATATTAGATTATTGAAATAATCTTCAACTAATATATTAATCTATTAATCGTTAACTGGAGTGTAAAGACTCTAAAACATGCTGACAGAGCATCCCACTTATATATATATATATATATATATATATATATATACACACTCTGCATTTTAGAAAAAGAAAACATTTTCCACTGTCAATATGCTCTATCCAGAACTCAAGTGGAAAAGTTTTTGTTTCCCATGGTTTAACTTCATTAACAATCTTCTTTAAGGAAGTTCGATTATAACTCTTGAAATAAAAATCAACAGATTCATTAATTTGCAAAATAATCATTAGTTGCAGCCCTACTTTGCACAATGATATGCTTTGATATGTAAACTACCCTATTGTAGCTGTAGTTCTAAGTCTTAAGGTGTTCCAAGAAGCGCCAGTCTCAAGTCTTTTACAACCTCTAACTCAGGAGTGTCAAAGGCTACGTTCACACTGCAGCCTGAAGTGATCCAAATCCAATTTTTTGGCCCATATGCGACCTGGATCTGATCATTTCATGACAGTCTGAACAACACCGATCCGATTTTTTTCAATGCGACCCAGGCCGCTTGGCTATGTGGTCCTGAATCCGATACGAATCTGATCTTTTCAAAGGCGACCTGTGTCTGAACGGCCAGGTCGCATTCATCCGACCTGAACGCCTATGAAGAAGTGGCAAGAAACACAACAACCATGGCGGACGATGATGTGGAGAGCAGTATTTATGTTTAACCATCTTGAAAAGATTGTGTTTATATGGTTGGAAAAGATTGCTAGATGTGCTCCGGCACTACATCCATGCTTAATTCCATAAAAAAGAAGCACGCTGGCCTGTGACATCATTGCGTCCTCTACTGGGCATGCTGGACACTTGTGTTGTATGACTACAGTTCATACAGGAGATCACATACAAGTTGCATATATAAGGAAATGTGAACAGCAACGCAAAAAAAAAAAAAAAATCAGATTTCACCAAGAAATCAGAATTGGGCATCAAGGCCTGCAGTGTGGACGTAGCCAAAGTGGCTCCAGAAAGGGCCGTGTGGCTGCAAGTCATGTTCAGATTTGACTCACTTGAAGAGATGACTGGAGTCTGGTGTGCTATTGCTTGGTTGGAAAGAAAACCTGCAGCCACACGACCCTTTTTGGAACCACTTTGACCCCCCTGCTTTAACTAATTTTTTCCCCTGATTCTTTGTGTCTTAATCTCCATCCATTTTCCCCATCACCTCCAACCAGCTTTCCTGCAACTACTTGTTCAGTTCTGGTCTAATCTGACCTCAACAACCTTCTCCATGTTAGCTCTGTTGCATACACTGTGATCTGAAAATAGACAAGAGTACAGTCTTTTTTTACCTGTCACACTTCAACAAGAAGAAATGATTGCTCTTACTTAACTGTTAACAAAAAAATCTCTGAAAATGAGAAAATAAAAACTGTCAATATCAGAATAAAGTTCTTGTTTAGTTCCAGAATATTTAGAGCTTCCATTAAAAGGAACAGCTAGTTGCCTAAACACTTGTCTGTAACCTGCCCCCATATAGTGTCATATTCCCCTTGAGAGAGCTGTGTTTGTGTTTAAAATGGTGATGTTAGTTGTCTCTATAGCTAAAGGTTCTCCAGTGGAAAAACTCTGCCAGACACTTCCACTATAACCTCACTGGATCAGAACCCACCATCAGGTGGCAGTTAAGGCTGATCAGGGATCTGATCAGGATACTTGATGTTGCCTTCCATCTTGCACCCCTGAGAATGAGCTGGAAAGTAGATCTCAGACACACAGGGATTACATTCAAACTCTACATCCTAATGATTCATTTGGCCAGTGTGTTGGACTTCCTTTGACCTTGACACAAACATTTTACTCCCCGAAGCCCGTAAGCAACATTATCTGGGTGAGCCCCATATGAAGTACAACAGCCTTTTCTATTGGTGTTGTGTTTAAACGGCTCATCATCATGTTAAAATCTGCCATGTGTTGGGGTATAAACACGGTCCGGTCAGTTAATCTAGCCTCAGGTGGGTTTAAGAGGAATTTTTCGCACCATTACATCTGCAAAGAGACTTCCTAGTCCATAATTGCGTAGGGGTCCGCTAGGTGTCAGTGAAGGGGCCCCTAAGAGGCCAGGGGCCCCTAAGCAACTGCAGTCTCTGCTACCGGATAGTTACACCATTGGTGATAAGTCAGTATAAATGGAAGAAAAATAATATTTACAGAATTATGACTGTTATCCTAGTATGTAGAAGCACTAAAGTCAGAAAGAGGTCAATAGTGGTGGTGGAATATTAATCCAGGACATCAAACCCTCTGCCTACTATATTTTTTCCCCCTGTTACCGGTAAATTAAATATAATTTTCATGGATCCTGATTCCTTTAGCTACAGCTTTTTAAAATGAATTTAAAAACTCCCTATAAGGATTTTCCCTCTGTCTTATCCTATAATCACTTTGGCATTTCAACTTTAATAGGCAACCATTTCCTCTTATTTGCTTCACCACGTTTTCTCCATTTTGTTTATTTATTTATCTATTTTTTTTTAAGAGTTGTATTCTATAACATGCAACAATGTTAACTTCACACTAGGAGGGAATCTGAACTCACCTGCAGCCAGACGGACGGACAGAAAAAGGACAAGCAACCCAGGGGCCAAAAGAGTTTGGATTGGAGAGAAGGAGGTCATGGCGTTAGTTTTTGAGGGTTGAAAACGAGGAAGTGTTCAAGTGCCGTCTACGATCCAAAGCAACATGTCACGCTACATTACCAAAAATGTTAAAAAGCATTTTACTTTACAGTTAACACCCTACTGCACGGTTTTTAGGGGAGACGCGATGCAAATGGCCGTTTGGAGACTCAGTAAAGTGAAACTAGGAAAAAAGGGAGTTGCCTATGAGAAGGCTCGAAGTCCCGCCTACAGGATATATGTATGAAATATAAATGCATTGATGTGAAGCAGACCTATTGTCAAATAAAAACTCGACAACGCCTGTTTTAACGTTACAAAAAAGGTTTATTTTCCCGTTAAAACATGATTAAGGATGGTCGAACATAGATTTTTTTTTTATCCCAGAAGGCATTTTTCTGCCATCTAGTGTTCAAAGATTGGAAATGCAGTCAGGTCTGACGTCAACGCCGTGAGTGAATTATCGACGTTCATTAGCAGACAAAGAAATAGAAATAAAAATGTTAAATAACTATTTATGTAAATAGTTAATATAAAAATAGATGAAGACGGAGGAGGTTGACTTTCTTTGCAAAAAAAGAAGATAAAAGAGGACAAAAAGAATGTTTTTAAATTATATCAATATATTTATTAAATGCAAAGATGATCATTTGAAAATGTACATTAATTAATATGATGCAAAAATATTTTTTTTAATGTAAGTTATCCATTTAATTCGTTGATTAAAACAAATCTTTGCAAATAACTTTCTTGACATTGATGTCAAGCTGACTTATTATTATTATTATTATTATTTATTAAATCTTGGCCCAATTAAATGCAATGATGATTATTTGGTTAATATATTTTTTGGTAATTAATTTTATTTAAGTTTTCTATTTATTTTGTTGATTAATACAAATCTTTACAAATAACTTTCTTGATCCTTTATTTATTAAAACAAGCATTTCCTTTTAAAAATATTTGAAGCAGTGATCATGTATATATATATATACATATATATAAATATATATGTATATATATGTATACATATATAAATATATATATTTTTTTATGTAAATCTTGCATTCACAATTACAAACATATTTTTTAGCCTAGAATTAAACTGAAGCAGAGCATTTGGCTACAGTCAAATGAGCAATCTCACATCGCATCTATGTGTTTCAATGAGACAAAAAAAAAATGTATATAGCTCATTTGTTTGGAGGTTCCCTTAAACATGATTCCTTCAGAGGTTCCAGCTGCATCCACAGGCCTCCTTCCGCACGCAGGACAAGTTGGGGGAGACGTCGCACTGTCCCCGAGCTGCTACTGCATTCAGGGTTAACACCCAAGGTCAGACGAAACTTCAGCAGGGTTAAAGCTAAGACGACTCGAAGCTCAGCCATGGCAAATTTCTGCCCAATGCAGTTCCTGTGAACGGAAATTGATACGATTTATATATTCGGTTATTCTGCATCTTCTTTTTTTTAAATGAGAAAAACAAACCTGGGACCAGAGGAGAAGGGGATGAAGCCATGAGAAGAGTGACTCTTTATGTTGGCTGGGTCAAAACGCAGAGGATCAAACTCCTTTAAAGCATATATTTATAAATCAAATTAGAGAACAAGAATTTTTTTTGTATATATTGTATATATTTTTAGAATGTCTTACATGTGGGTTACTCCAAACTTCAGGGTTGTGGTGTGTCCCATAAAGGCTAACCAAACAGATTACACCTTTAAGGCAAAAAACCAACAAACAAAGACAGTTATAAATCATGTCTTATTTACTAACTTGTTCAAATTGAGCACAGGTTGTAAAAAGCTCCCAGCATCTCACCCTCTGGTACCGTTAAATCTCCTGGCAGTGTCATGTCCTGGGTGTATTTCCTCGTTACAGCCTGGACTGGAGGGTGGAGTCTGAGGCTTTCTTTGATGCACATGGTGGTAAAAGAAAGGTTGGACAGATCTTCCCTTTAAGAGAAAAAGTGAATCAGTGCAAACATATCTAAAAATTATAATAATGCCTTAGAAAAACATGTATACCCCCTTGATTTTTGGCTAGTTTCTGGTCTTTCTAATCTTCTAGAAGGTTTTATTGTACAAAATTTTCCTTCATCCATCTACTTGTCAATTATAAACTGCTTCTCTACCCCTGCTCCTGAAAAACATCTTCCTAACTTTGAATCTTCTGCTCTTTTCAGATGATGGAATTAAAAGTTCTTCATGAGACATTTTAAATTTGGAAAATGCCTTAAAGTATCTCAAAAACTTTCTCCCTGATCTGTCAGCTGTGCTTCTTGCTCTTCATAAATCTTTTTTAAACTAATCCCCTCTAAAAAAACAACAACAAAAAAACTATGAGACTATCAAAGATCAGCTGGATGTTTACTGTGTGCATTTTCTAACCACTCTATTTCATCCCCACTCCGTCCCTCCATCAGCTCCATAACTTCCTGCCTGCATTTTTCCTGATAGTGTGGATGTCGAGCTAAATTGTAGAGCGTCCAGCATATCGCACTTGCTGTCGTATCATGTCCTGCGGGGAGAAAAAGAAGACTAATTGAATTTAGACCAGCATAAACAATTGAAGAACAATCCTTTTTTCCCCCTAGAAATCTGTTTAGCAATGAGTCTTTTTAGCTCCTCTGTCCCCTAAAAATCTATAATTTCTGGATTTACCAGCTTCTATACAGCCTGTTAGGAAGCAGCAGTCAGTATAGTGTTTAATTTCTGATAACAAATCCTCCTAATCAGAAAGTTAAGGTTTAAACTCTGTCTGAGCGAAACTTTTTATTTTGACTGAAGAAAATAAGAAAAAAAATGTCAATTTTGCAACCATAACCTTCAGTTGGTTATTTTTTTGTTTATTTTCTTTAACCAATTTAACAGGAACTATATTTTGCTAAATTAGTTGTGCTTATATCTCTAGGTTCACTATGGAATCCATCCTGAGTGCAAGTTAGAGTTGCCAATAAACCAAACAGTCATAGTTGTAGACTGTCAGAAGAAGAGGGAGTACCTGGAGTGTATCCATGTTTGTTCATGGAGAACATGCAAAATGCATGCAAGGTAAAAAACCTAAGCTGGGAATCAGATCAAGGACTTTCTTCGTACCATGCAAGTCAACAATGTTGAGAACTGACCAGCCATGCAGCTGATTTTATAAGCTTTTTTTAAGCTTCTGCATTAATAACAATCAATGTCTGTGTTTAATTCTCCTGCTTTCTTTGGCAAACTTCAGCTTTATGATGAGGATCCAGAAAAAATAAGGAGAGATCATTTAAATTTCCTAATTTTTTATTAAAGAAATATGATCTAATCTTATTTTATTTCATGGTGATTTAGGCTGCTGAGGCTTTGTTGTTGTAGTTCACACGTTTGGCCACAGATGGCGCTGTGTAGCCAACGTACCAGCAAACATGAACGTGTTGGCTTCGGCCTGTATTTCCTCATCTGTGAGTCCTTGTCCGTCTTCATCCTGTATTAATATAAAACAAATCCATGTATTATCATCATTATTTAATTTTTTTATGACAATGCAGCTCACCTTTGACAGAAGTATGATGTCGACGAAATCTTTCTTTTTCTGTGGGGCTGCGTTCGTTTGTGTCTCTGTCTCCCCCTGCTGGGCAATAAGGGCACGGCGCTTCTGCACAACATCCCTGGTGAACCTGCAAGATTTACAACATTTTGTGCCCATATAAACTTAAAATACATAAAGAAATATAGAATTGAATATTAGTGATAAGATATAGTAGATATTGTAATAGATTGTGGTGATCTTTAGCTATTTTAGCATATAATTTTTTTAAAATAAATACTGTAAATAGAATTCCAGCTATATAATTTGAAGGAAAATGTACATCAAACTGATATAAATCATAAAAGCACACATGAAATTGTGAAATTACCTCTGTACCACACCTAATGCTTGTTTAAATCTCTTTCCTTGCTGAGTTTTCCAGTAGATACAGTCCCAGTGGTGTAAAATGCGAAAGCGCCGATCTATCACCAGGTCGCTAAGCTCTACAATGGCAGAAACATACTCACTGCTGGACCTAAAAATAAAAAAAAGATGTGCTTATTTAGAGTCTAAATAAAGAGCAGAAACAGGAAGTTTTAATCAAAATAGTGCTTACTCCTGACAGTTGCTTTGGTAGCTGAAGGCGCACTTTAATAAGCTGTCCAGTGTCATCAGAGTGACATGGTCAAACAACTCTATGTTGGTTGTCCCTTCTGCCACCAGCCGCTGCCATTTATTCTGGACATTTAATAAGGGGACATGGAGACGGCATCAGAATTTTGAACGTTAAATGCTTTTCTAATATGTCCCATAATTAGTAGTGGTCTTTTTGTTGCAGAAATGTAGAAGTTTTTACGCTGATCATTTTTTCCGATATTAAAATGTGACAAAACAAACAAAGAGAATAAAATACAAGCAACATTTTTTTTTTCTTCAAAAGTTCAAATTGTGATCTTTTATACTGATTCAAGTAAGGGTACATAGAGAGCAGACTAAGAAAAACCCTCTGCTCCAAAAGTGACTCCTTCTAACATGTTGGGTTATAGCAGTTTCCCACATGGATGAACCTGATACCCTCAGGAAGAAAGTTTTATGGCCAGACAAGAGGAACTCAACCCGTTTGGGCCAAATGTGGAGGAAATTGTTGGAAGGCATCTAGTGGAGGCTTTACACCTAAGAACTTTGCACTAATTTTTGAGCATGATGGTGGCAGTATCATGATATGGGTAATACTGGTGCATTAAACAAAGGGGATGACAGACAGGGATGGCATTTTTTTTTTTTTTCAATTAGTACATATCACTGGGGTGATGTTATCTGTTGGTCCTTGTATTTTGTATGCAAAAACAACTAAATAACAAAAAGCCCTCCATTGTCCAATCACATGCTGCCGAGTCCTCTCACAGTTGTCCCACTCAGCAGTAGTCAAAGCCACTCCACTCGAGTCTAGGCTACTAATAAATTGATCTCATCAGGTGAACATGCAGATATGTAAATATGAGATTATTGTTTCTGAAACAAACTGTAAACTGACATAAAACACTTAATTAAATTTTTAATTCTTTTTTTAACAACTCAAAAAACAAAAAAAAAACAAAAAACAAAAAACACATAACTATTCTTCTCAATGACTTTTTAAGTTTCTAAACCTGTTAGGGGTGTTTTACTTTGAAAGTATAGTGGAGGATTTTCACAAATTTTTAAAAAGCTCCACCCTCTTCACTTTAAAAACAAAATGCACAAACCTGTATCGGCTCCCGAGAGGGTACGCCTATTAAGCGTGTGTGACAGCGTGCACAAGCCCATTTCTCCTCGTGCACGCTCTGT